TTTTTTATGCACATTTATATCATTAAAAGAAATTAAAAACATGTTACCTAGACAAATTACTTAATAGACAAAACTAAGGGAATGACAAAAAATATATATTTTTTTTTATAGTTAAAAATTTTTTAAATACAAAAAATAATTTATAAACTTAAAATTTTCAAAATTATAAATTTAGCAACTAAGTTTAGCATTTAACGTTGGGATTTGGTGTCCTAGGGTCAAGATACAAAACATGTGGTATCGAGGCACATGCTCATAGCGACCATTAAATTTGTTAATACTATTAACATTTATTAAAATTTTATCATAATTTAAACATTAAAAAATTAATAATCATTATTAATAATTTGAAATTAATTTATAAATAAATATTTTTAAATATTATAACTTATATTTAAAATATATTATAAATTAATAAAATTACAATTAAATTAAGGTTAAAATACCAATTTAGTCCCTCAACTTTTAGATTTATACCATAATTATCCCTCAACTTCAAAAAATACTAAAATCGTCCCTATACTTTAATTTTTAATACCAAAAAATCCTTTTATTAACAAAAGTAACAAAACTCATTATTTTATTACAAAATCAGTTTTTTTTTTAAATAATAATGACATGTAAAATTAAATAGTTATATTTTATCATCGTGACATAATTTTATTTATATATCATATCGATATATAATTAAAGTTGAAAAATCAAATTAGTGTTTATAATCAAATTAAGTTCAAAGATTAAATTGGTACTTGTTTTCAAAGTTTAAAGATTAAATTGGTACTTATTTTCAAAGTTTAAGGATTAAATTGGTATTATTTTCAAAGTTTAAAGACTATTTTAATATAAAAATTAAAATTCAAAAACAATTTTAATATTTTTTTGAAATTAAAAGATAATTTTGATATAAAATTAAAAATTGAGGGACTAATTAATATTTTAACTCTAAATTAATAGCTCAATAGAAATTATAGTGAGAATAACCTCAGTAGTATCTTCTTCCAATAAAAATATAATAACTTAGCTCTTTTAATATATGTCATCACAATGTAAAGGAAAAATGATATTTAACAGAAAACCCAACTCTGTCCATGTTAAATAGGGATAGTTTGTCCTTGTACGAAAAGTTACTCAATAAAATGTTCCACCCCCCTTTCCCCGCTTATTTCGATTGAGAATTATTATAATTATAATATTATATAAAATTATAAATTTATTGTAAATATAATTATA